CCCCTTTGTCACCCCAATAAAGGCTCGAACCCGGCGCCAACTCTTGGGGGTCCCCCCATATCCCATGGGATGGGGGGGTGGGGGAGGGCACCCCCAAATCCATGAGCAGGACACATTGACATGGAGGGGACCCCAAAACCTTTATTGGGGGGGTCCCCCAGACACATTATAGGGGGAACCCCATGGAGGGGGGACCCCAAAACTGGGGGCGGGGTGTCAATAGGGGGTATTTGGGGACCCTAAAATGATGGGGGGGGTGTCAATAGGGGGTATTTGGGGACCCCAAAATGATGGGGGGGAGTGTCAACAGGGGGGTATTTGGGGGACCCCAAAGGGATTGGGGGGGCCCTGGAGGGGGGAGGTGTCAAAGTGGGTTTGGGGGACCCCTATTAGGTGGGGGGTAGTCATAGGGGGGGTCCTCAAAGTGATGGGGTTCTAGAGGGACCACAAAAGGGCTGGGGGGTTATTGGGGTGTCGCTGTCCAGGGTCCTTACGCCGCGGCTCAGGCTGGAGGAAGAGGACAAGGGGTGACAAAGGGCCCCCCAAAAGCCCATCGTGGGGGGCCCCAAGTGTTGGGGACCCCTCCCGTGTTGGGGACCCCCCCCAGGTTTTGGGACCCCCCAAACCTTGGTCCAAGTGAAGCTTCTTGCTCTGGGGGGGCTCCGGGAACCCCTCAATGTCCACGATGTCCCCAGAGGCCTCAGTGTCACCATCTGGCAGGGGGAAGAGGGGGTTCGGGGGGGGGACCCCAAAAGTGAATGGGGGGGTTAAAGGGACCCAATGGGGATGGGGGGACCCCAAAAGTGAATGGGGGGGTTAAAGGGGATGGGGGAATCCCAAAAGTGAATGGGGGGGTTAAAGGGACCCAATGAGGTTAAAGGGACCCCAATAGGGATGGAGGGACTCCAAAAGTGAATGGGGGGGTTAAAGGGACCCAATGAGGTTAAAGGGACCCCAATAGGGATGGAGGGACTCCAAAAGTGAATGGGGGGGTTAAAGGGACCCAATGGGGATGGGGGACCCCAAAAGTGAATGCGGGGGTTAAAGGGACCCAATGGGGATGGGGGGACCCCAAAAGTGAATGGGGGGGTGAAAGGTGATGGAGGGACCCCAAAAGTGAATGGGGGGTTAAAGGTGGGTTAAAGGGACCCAATGAGGTTAAAGGGACCCCAATAGGGATGGAGGGACTCCAAAAGTGAATGGGGGGGTTAAAGGGACCCAATGGGGAAGGGGGGACCCCAAAAGTGAATGAGGTGATGGAGGGACCCCAAAAGTGAATGGGAGGTTAAAGGTGATAGGGGGACCCCAAAAGTGAATGGGGGGGGCTCAATGATGAAGACGGGGACCCCAAAACAAGGGGGAGTGGCTGATGTTGGTGCCTCTCCATTGCGGTACCTGCTGCTTTGTGCTTCTTATTGGGGTTGTCTTGGGGTGCCCCGGGGGGCCCCCGATTTAGGGGCCCCCTCCTTTGTGCGGCCCTTTCTTGGGGGACTCCGTGGCCAGAGGGACCCCGGTGTCCTCATAAACCTTCTTCTTGGCCGTGGCTTTGAGCTGTGCCCTGGAGGGACAGGGACAAGGGGGTGAAAAGGGGGTAAATTTGGAGGGGTCGGGGGGGACCCCCAAAACCAGCCCCCGACCCCCCCCATACATGGTGCGGTCCTTGATGAGGGCACTGAGGTGGTTCAGGTCCTCCCCAAAGCGCTTCACGGCCCCACAGAGCAGCTCCAGCTCCAGCTCCATCCACTTGGCTCTTTTTGGGGGGATT